GGGGGGGGGTTGCTGCAGGCGCAGCTACACACGCGTCTCAAATGAGAAGCCTCTTCCTCATTGGTGGAGACTGCCCTTTCCTTTTTACAAAAGAGGCCAATCGGGTGTCTCAGTTGCATAACAGATTTGTCCTTTGTCATTTTAATAGGCTGATAGGGAAGTAGGTGGCATCTACCTCTGGATTAAGTAAATGGACTCGACCCCCCCCATCTTGACTGTTTTATTTTCGCTTAGTTTTTTTTATGGAAAATGATCAAATCCTGCTAAAAAATACTACAAAATTCCAGCACATTTGCTTATGTGAAGTACCTCTCCCTGTTAATGAATGTCTGGTTTGTGCTCAGAGCATCGTGAGATCCAAAGTGTCTCGCTGGCTGGATGCAGTAGGATAGACTGGAGTTATTCATTTGTCTGGACTTGTTCTACTCAGGACTTTAGTGTTCATTCCGCTCAGAGGAATGTTTGCTCTGCCTCACAATCATCTCTGCCCTCTAACTCTGCCAAAGTGGCTGCGCATCTGAGTCATCACAAACGATGCGATGCCTTCTCTCTGTAGCAATGTAGTGTTTCGTCGTCCTGCCTTACCCTCAGGGCACTGGTCTTGTTGGTGTTCTAGGCAACTACACTCACACTACAGCATGAAGTGAGTAAATTCTCTGTGCCATCATTCACGGTCCTCCTGCCCCTCCTCTAATGTAATTACCTCGGGTAATTATCTAATCCCTTCCCTCTTTTCTCTCTCAGTCGGATCTGAAATGTGTCCAGGATGCCAAAGGAGGCTCTTTTTACAGAGACCACTGTCCCGTTTTAGGTAAGTGAGCCTCTGATCTGTGTCCACCGTCATTATTGCACCAATTCTCTCTCACCTATCGTTCTGGTGCAGTGAATTCAAGGGCATTAGGGGAGGTTTCACTTGTAGTTTGCGCTGCTTGGCCACTAGATGGCAGCGCTGCACAGTCACCTGGCTGCCAAAGCCACATACAGGCTCAGGTCATGCAGTGAGAGGTTTGATAGTATTATTATCCACAAATAGCCACACTGAGTACTTGTAGTAATGCCTTGCCTCTGTTTTGTTGTTACCAATTTGCAGCCACATATGTGGTTAAAAACTTACGATATCGATAGAGCTAACGTTACCTTAATCTCCCAGGTGAGCAGAATGGCAACAGAAATCCTGGCGGCCTCCAGATCGGAGACCTGGTCAACATCGACTTAGACCTCGAGATTGTTCAGTCCCTTCAACACGGCCACGGTGGGTGGACTGACGGCATGTTTGAGACGCTCACCACCACCGGCACAGTGTGTGGCATCGATGAGGATCACGACATCGTCGTCCAGTACCCCAGTGGGAACAGGTGAGTCCCTAGAGATGGACCAGCTCAGATTTATCGGATGAAACCGCGTCTCATCACCACAGCGTCTCATGAATTCAGTTTTATATAACCTCTTTCACCTCATCTCAGGCAAATGCCACCAAACGCTGAAGTACATCTTCATTACAAGATTAAATTATGGTTTGTAACACTTGAGAGAAGAGCCTCTCTAAAAGTTAGTGGTCAATTTGTTGTAAAATATAATTAAAAAGTGTATCTTCTTATCACCTTAAATGTCAACTTCAGTCTGCTTCAAGTATTCATGAAAACTCATAACTCAGTCAGACATTGATCATTTAAACAAAGGTTTTCTATTTATTTTATATTTTCTCATTACTTAATCGTAGCTGGCGAAACCCCAAATATTCCATGCGACTGCTCCGAATCTACTCTTGTTCAGGTATCATATTTTATGAGTTGTGAGTAAATAAGTTGTTTAATGCCTTCATTTCCGTATCCTCAGGTGGACGTTTAACCCCGCCGTGCTGACAAAGGCCAACGCAGTGCGCAGCGGCGACGCAGCAGCCGGGGCCGAGGGAGGCACCTCCCAGTTTGTAGTGGGAGACCTGGTCCAGATCTGCTACGACATCGACCGCATCAAACTGCTCCAAAGAGGCCACGGAGAGTGGGCCGAGGCAATGCTACCTGTAAGAGTGCTAACGAGTTTATGTATAGTGTAGCATGATACTATCCACCGGACTGTGAAGTTGTGTGAGTGACGGAAGATCTTCAAATCTAAAGTACACTTCAGTGGATAGTGTCATTAAAACAGAAAATATGTATGTTTGATATTTGCACCAGACATTTTTGTGATTGTTTAAGTCATTACATTAATTCATTACGAGCACACAATTTATATGCAAACAGCTTCTATAAATTAGGCTGAATCAATCTAGCTCTGTGTAATATTTCTGCTGTTTCCCCTGCAAATCACTCCTCGTCTGTGTTGCTGCCAATTTGTTTGTTTTGATCCTTTTTGGTCTCGACACGACTCTATTCTTCCCTTATTATGAAGTTTGTTCATCGCTGCCCAGCATGCCTGAGGTTATGTATCGCCAGTCTACTTCAATATACCACTTGTCCCTGCTGAACTGTCCCCCCCCCCCCCCCCCCTTCAGCATCTAATGAGCCTTAAAACCCAGAGACGGGTTGTAGCTTTGATCACTAGCCACGGCGGTTTGTCGCCCGCTGCTGCTTCTGTCGCAGCACCAGCTCCCCCCGTTATTGATGGCATCCTCCAGGACGGCCCCAGACCCGCCTCGACACACTCAAAGTGCCTCTTTCTCATACAGCCGAGATCCAGACGATATGATTCAAAATTGGAAAGCATTTTGCTCCGTCCTCTTTGTATCGGCTGTATAGATGAATAATAGTCTAGCCAGTAGCGGGGTCTCGTTCTTTTATATCCATCTTGTTTCTTGTGCAAGTAAATGTCCTCTGAATAATGAGAACACATCTTAAATCTGTAATATTTCGTTTTTTTCTGTCAGGTTTTTATTTTTGTTACTGCTCCGAGTGGGACAATTGCTTTGTTGAGCTGGTATTTTATTTTTTTTCCTCTTTGTCCTTCCCCGCACTCGTCCTACCAATCTTACAGGCTCCGTTACACAGAACATAGCCCATAGACAACAGCCCTCCACGTACTAATGAGTTTTGTCGCAACATTTACCAACAGACCCTCGGCAAGGTGGGCCGTGTGCAGCAGATCTACTCTGACAGCGACCTGAAGGTCGAGGTTTGTGGAACTTCCTGGACGTACAATCCCGCCGCTGTCACCAAGATTGCCCCCTCTGGCTCCGCTGTCACCAACGCCTCTGGAGGTATGTGTGAACAAGCACTCCTGACGTGGAGAGAGTGTCATTGTGGTTCTTTGTCCTCACTGCCGCCTGTTCTCTGACACCTTAACACGCAGTCACTTTCTGCTCTTTTCCCTCCGTTTGGCCAGAGCGTCTGTCTCAGCTGCTGAAGAAACTGTTTGAGACACAAGAGTCTGGAGACATCAATGAGGAGCTGGTCAAGGCAGCAGCCAATGGTGACCTGGCCAAAGTGGAGGACATCCTGAAGAGACCTGATGTGGATGTAAGTGCTCAACACACGGTTTTTTGGTATGAGCTGCTGCTGGACTTCTAGATATTAGATAGTCATTTTGCCGTTGAATATTTACAAGAGATCTGAGTCCATTGATGATTGTAGATGGAATATCCCTAGCTAAGCTCTGCTCTGCTCTCAGTATATCGAGGAGGCTGAGTCTCTCCTCGTGAAGGGCTCTGAGATCCTCCCACTCCTGCACCTCTCTCAATCTGAAAAGCATTAAGGCTGGGCCCAGAGGAGGCACCGAGGAGCATTGGTGTGCACTGCAGCACAGACCCGATTCCCTCTTTAAATCAAGCTGAGATCTACAAACCCTGCTACAGGCTACAGGCCAGGGAAAACATCCTTTTTGCCACAGGACAGAAGCCCGTGCCCGGTGTAGGTTATGAGAACTGGTTACGTCAAGTCTGCAACACTGTCCTCACTCAGAGAGCAAGAGCGAGTGAATGAGTGTGTGTGTGTGCCAGTTGTAAAGGCTGGCCAGATGCCCTACTGCCTTTCAGTGGAATTATTTGCTTAAAGCTGAGCACACTGAGCTCGGCCAAGTGATCCGCCTGCCAGGACAAGAGATGTCTCGAGACTCCCAAAGGAGTCCACATTAATATTTATGGTCTTGAGTTTTTGCAGTGCTGCAGTTGCTGATGAAACATGCACACACACACAGTCGTGCATGCGCAGCCGCTGACACTAACGCTTAAACACGCCCTCACCGAGCTCTTAGCCCCTCAGGTGAACGGCTAATGCAGCAGATGCGTATCGAAACATGACGCATGACATCGACACACACCCATATTCTCACTCTCGATGTGTTAACAGGTGAACGGCCAGTGTGCTGGACACACTGCTATGCAGGCAGCCAGTCAGAATGGTCACGTGGACGTCCTAAAGCTGCTGCTGAAACACAGCGTGGACCTGGAAGCTGAGGTTCGTATAGTTAAACGCATTCCTCGTCTCGCATCCATTTCATTATCACAATATACATCTAAGGCTAAGTAAGTGCTTTTCACTGAGTCATTATGCTGGTGTGTCATTCAGGACAAAGATGGAGACCGGGCAGTGCACCACGCATCCTTTGGCGATGAGGGCTCTGTCATTGAGGTACTGCAGAGGGGCGGTGCTGACTTGAATGCCAGGAACAAGCGAAGGCAGACTCCTTTACACATAGCGGTCAACAAGGGACACCTGCAGGTGGTCAAAACCCTGCTGGACTTTGGCTGCCACCCCAGCCTTCAGGTATCTATCACTGCGACTTATTTACGTGTAAAAAAAAATAAATGCTCTGTGAGAGTAGAGAGGTCGTTTACGGCAGGGTTTGAATCACAGATGAGTACGAGAGGAGAAAGTTACACGAGGTTTCCCCTTTTTAGGATTCCGAGGGGGACACGCCGCTGCACGATGCCATAAGCAAGAAGAGAGATGACATGCTGTCTGTGCTGCTGGAGGCTGGTGCTGATGTCACCATCACCAACAATAATGGCTTCAATGCCTTGCATCACGCGGCACTTCGAGGAAACCCCAGGTATGAGACACTGTCCTGCTCTCCCGCTTGCTGTCGCACCTGTTTGGGGTCTACGAGGGACCAGGGCATGTTTGGGTGGAATCTGTGGAGACGGGATCCTCAGGATGGCAATAGTCTCACCTTAAACACCTTACATATTTCTAAATGTCCACACACTGATTCTTTCTGGACTGATTCAGCATTGAAGCACAAGACTCCAGAACTGGAAAAGAGATTTCACAGTGCGTTTAAAAAATATCAATTGAGAAATCAGATTGTTGGCACCTTGAGACGTTTTTGCCCTAATAGTGAATTAGCACCAGACCAGTGTTTGATTGTATGCGTGACAGTCATAACACAAATATCTTCAGTGCTAAAATTGTGATTATTTAGACTTGATTATTGAATAATAACTCAACTGATAGATAATTGTTCTCAATATTCAGCCCAACTGAAACAACTTTCGCTCAAGAAAAAATACATTTTAGAGCATTTTCAAATGTTAGTCAAAACTACAACCACTACACTTCCTGTTTTGAGGCCGTGGCAGAATCACTAATCTGTTACTACTAACCCGTTACTTAAAACCTGTTACCACTCTGACGGCCTGCGGGTGGGCCGTCAGAGTGTTAAGTGTAGATTTGTGTCATGTACACAACTGCTCTGTAACGATGAGTATTAATGTGATATCTCATTAGAAAGCTACGGTTCTTGTAATTCGATTTATGCAAACCATTTCAAGATACAGTAACAACAGCAGGTACAGTTAACGTCTCTGTCAAACAAGCACTCCAAAAATAGCCGATAAAATATCGCCTTGACTCACCGATTATGATTCATAACGTCTCCCTCGTGCATGCTAGTCCAGCAAAAACGGTCTTGCTAGGTGGCTAAAGGTCCACTCGATCGAATCCAGTAAAATATTTAGTCCAAAACACATTAGTACGTCCATAAAGACCCACGGGGGGCTGTTGCATCATTTCAAATTAGCCAGCAGATATGATAACTCGCGATCATAATTCGGTCATAATTTCACTTTTCATGCAAAATGGAGCCTACATTCCGCCGGTTAGATTGACACCTCATTTGACCCAATAGGAGCTTCTATAGCCCGGTCACATTCTGGAACAGCCAACGAGAGTCCGCTTTGAAAGACAATGCCTCTTGCTTTGAGTAAAGCTCGAGCCAATCGCAACAGATTCCATTGAATCTCAGGCTCCATATAGCCAATGAAATTATGAAGACAAGGATATGCAGATTCAGCAGATTGCACTCTGGGAAAGTTTTCAAAACTGAAATTCAATGCCGTGAGTCAAGTACCTGAGACCGATTATCAAGAGCAAAGTCTGGTTCATGAGAATTTTCAAGAATCTGTGAAAGTTGACAATGGTTAAATATGTTATAGTTAACCATACATCGACATAAATAAACTATATTTCGAATTTCGGACATGTAGTTTATCGTAGTATATGCATTTTGACATGGTGACGACGAGCCTCCAAATGCGTTTTTACGCGGCCGTACTCTTAGTAAACCACGTGTAAAATATAAATTTTCTGTCGTATTGTTATCAAATTCTAACTTCCACCAGGTACTATGACTCCATGCTATCGTAGCAGTGTCTTTTCCAGCTCATAAGTCCCAGCCATAGATAACTGCTGCCATCTGTTGGCCAAAACAAATCCAGGCGGAAATAAAAACCTTCTTTTTCAGTGTGTTGTAAACTCCATAGCTCAATGCCAGTAGCACTTACAGTGATTCTGACTGATTGTGAAGAAACTTCAGAGTGTTACCGTTCAATAGAGACTAAAACCATACATGTACTCCCAATGGTTCAATAAGAGCTGTCAGTTTACTTTGGGTACGCCTAGGATAGGCGTTTTAGGCAAATTTTACAGTAGTGGTAAGAGGTTCACCGGCATGAATGACGTGGGCTCACCACCTACAGGTCTAAACTAGGAGACGTTAGTAGTAAATCTAAAATAAATCAAATGGATATTTGGATATAAATTTGGATATAAATCAATGTTTACAGTTCTTCCACAGATTCCTTGAAAGCATTTGTCTTTCATTGAATTGTTTTTTATTAGTGTAGTTGATAGCCCTTGAAGTTCATTTGTTGTTTGTATTTTGCTGTTGTGCCGGTCCGTCTCCGTGTGTTGTGAGCAGAGGCCGGCCTGAAGCGGCAGCCGTTCGCCTTGTCCTTGGCTGTAGCTATTTCTGGCTGGAGGACGTTACCGCTCCACTCTTTGGCTACTTCATTCTTGTCTCTCAATGAGCGTATTAAAGATGGTTCAGTGAGACGGCTGCCTGTATCAGGTTGTTCATCCGGGGTCTCTTAAACTGATGGACATTGACGTTACAGGGTCGGCGTTATAGAACGGAGCGACCTTCATGTCTGCTTCACACGCTGAGCTCTTTTCCGTGTGTACGTGTATGGTTGCGCATGAGCGTGGTTATCCCGGGCTAAATGTCATTCCCCTTCACTGGCATTCATTCGTTTTGGCATGAGGACAAGTAGGATTGAGGTCAGAGGGCTGTGCCACAAGCCTGGCCAGACCCAGCCTTCCACCTCTGGCACACTAAAGCCGGGGCCTCCTGTGTGGTACACTGACCAACTGATTCGATATGAAGAGTAACGATATGAAAACACAAAGCATTGCCTATCAAGGAAAATCCGCTGTCAGTGGTGTTAATCTCCAGTGACATTCATTGGCAAATACATTTAATTAACATACGGATTGTGAGGAAAGGACTTGTTTTCTCTAACAAGCAAATGATCAAAATGATGGTTGTAATAACAATAACTTGGAACAAATTAAATAACACTTTTAGGGGAAAGACAGGGATCACAGACAGAAACGGTTCCAACCAGACAGACATAAAGACAAAGTATGAACAGCAACAAAAGTATAAAAATACAGTAAATATAAATACTTAAAATAATAAATGCTTTTTGTATTTCTTTACTTATTTTATTTTTGATTTATTTTATGAAAGATGCAGAACTAGCTTGCCCGACCGATCTCCTACAGCAGGTCGGTCCAGAGCTGATGATCCTTGAAATTATTTAATTAATTAAATGTAATTATATAGATTAGAGTCTGATTCATCCACATGTTCATTTTATTTTTTAATCATACCCACTAATTGACAAAAGAATCACACACACGACACACAAAATTGGCCATGTGGTCCGAAATCCCATCCCGACTTTGTAGTCCGTGTGTGAAACGATGTTACAAGACCACTGTGTTGTCTTTTATTACAGCTTTTAAACTTTAATGAATGATAGTAAACTCATTTAGGAAAGGTCACAGACTGGCAGAGTGTAAACACACTTGCTTGCATTATAAATATTAAAATGCAATGAGCGTGTAATGTGTACATGTAAACCAGCATTCGGTGTAAAGCAGCAGAAAGCCGGTCCGCTGCAGCACGCATTGATTTAGCGGTGAAAAAAAAGTGCTGGAGTAGCAGTATTTCCTGTATCAGGGCTGCTATTGTGTTGTGTGTGCGCGTTCCTTTTCTTCCGTCCACGCTCTGTCCCCTCGCCTTCAGAGAAACGAAGATGTATGTCGCCTTCTCCAGTCTGCCCATTTACTTTTATTTCACGCTCGAGCACCTGCAATATCGGGAAGACAGTCCACAAGTCCTAAAGCCCTCGGAAAGCTCTCCCTAGGTTGAAATGAAAGTACCTTGTCTGCTGTGTTTTTAGTGGAGAGGCAGTTGCTTCGATTGAGTGCTTGGAGGAATTCCTACCACCGAATCATATTTCAAAAAAAGTGCCTTTGACAACTGTCATGAGGAAGTGCTTGGAGTTGGGAGTTGATCGGAAGCCCCTTGGACGAAGGGTGTTATATGAAGCCCCCTCCAGTTTACGATCGATGCTATTAATGTTCCCTGATAGTAGGTCCGCGCTCCCGCCTCGTGTTTAGATTGAGCACCGGCAAAGAATGTCCTGGCACACGCGTCTTAAACAAGTCTAATCTATCGTTTTTCATCAAAACTAATACAACTCATGTAAAACGGGGGGGAAGAATTGCTTCCACTTTGTGTTCTGTACGTTATCTACATCAAATGCTGGCTTCAGAGAGTGCGTCAGAGGCCCCTGTGTGTGTGTGTGTGTGTGTGTGTGTGTGTGTGTGTGTGTGCGTGTGCGTGTGCGTTTGTGTGCCTGGGTATTTTAAGATCGCGGGTTTGTCTTCCAGCGGTGGAAAGAAGATTGAGGAAGATGTATAGGAAGAACCCTGTGGATGACGGATGAATCTTTCAACTTGGACTCCCAAATACAGAGAGAAATCAAGCCGACCAACAGGGGTGCGGCAGGAACCGGGGAGTTTTACTATATTTCACCTCGTTCATTACTCACATACACACACATACCACTACAGAGTGTGAAGGCATTTCCTCATAAATTAGACCTAGTTGTTAAGTTTTACAGTTGCTACTAAATTGAAAGTGCTGGTATAACTGGTAGTAACGCGTTGAGGAAAGGATTTTCTCGGACATCCACATTATGTTTTCCCCCCGTTGTGTTTACCGCAGCCCGAGCCTGCGAGGGGCGCCTGGCTCGTATCTGTGTCTTCCCCCTCGGGCTGCTGGGAGCCAGTAGCTGCTACAATACTGTAAACAATACGATTAATAGCCCATGACTCATAAACGGGCTCCAAACAAGCCCTGCAGCGGCGGTCTGTGCCCTTTTACGTGTCACCTCCTTGTAATATTTGCCCTCCTCCCTCTCTCATATGGTGCTCAGCTTCTTTTTTTTAATATGGCATCATACAGGCAAACCCCACATGGTAATCAAGGGCTCTGCCATTAATCACACCGCGCTCCAAAATGCAGTGTTCCCAACATAATGTCGGTGCTAATAGGCGGCAGTATTGTAATGGTGATCTCAATTAGATAGAAAACGTGTTGTGGACCCTTTGAGGCAAATTTGCGGAATGGGACAAATGTTTGCACTTCTAGAGACTTGCTGCTTTATTCACATGCGCTTCATGGCTGCCAATGATTGA